GTCTCTCTCTCTCTCTCTCTCTCTCTCTCTCTCTCTCTCTCTCTCTCTCTGTGTGTGTGTGTGTGTGTGTGTGTGTGTGCATACATGTATTTGCGTGTGTGCACAATGTGGAAAAGATCTGTGATCTTCAACTTCGGTATATTGTCTGAAATTCACCCTGTCTGCCGGCGTGGGCATGGTCCCAAAGGTGCTGGGAAATGCACCTGACGACATGCAGATGTCTCAGCCTGCATGGCGATGACTGGGTTCCGTATCTCAGATCTTCTTCTGACGAACTTTGACTCCCGTGCTTGCTCAAAGAGAGTATATCTAGCGCGTGCGCGTACAAACATACTACTTAGTGCACCCGCAAACAAAATTATGTCTTTGCGCTTGGCGCGCGAAACCTACCCCCCCTCACGCACACACACAAACACACACCCGCGACATTGCAAGCACATATCTATCATCCTGAACATCAACTTGTCTATGATTTGACCGATCGCCCGGAGCGGGGGGACTGTGGAGGGGGGGTGTAGGGGACTGTGGAGGGGGGGCGTAAGGGCCCTAAGGGGAGATATGGCTGTTGAGGATTCAAGCCAATGGCGACGAAATGTTTTTCGTTTTTTTTTTCCCTCTCCCTAGGACCTTCTATTTTGTTGATATTGTGTGAGACTGTGAAGGCAGGCACCCTTCACTTGATATTCGTTATTGCCTTTAGGCTTTCGCCGTTGGCGTGTGTTTCTCCTTTGACATGTTTGCCCCTCACCTTCGAGTCTCCACTGTCTCCGTATTTGTGGCCCTAAGACATCTCCGCCGTCTACATGTCCTCCTCAATTCCATTCTTCATTTCTTTCCTTCTTCCCTTGCCTTTATTCAGTGTTCCTCAACTGTGTTTTTGTTGGTCAACGATTTGACTGCCATCATTCCATGCAATCCATGCATGCACGTCGGCGTGACTGTGTGTCGCACGTGCTGATGCATGCACGTCGGTGTGACTGTGTGTCGCACGTGCTGATGGATGCACGTCGGTGTGACTGTGTGTCGCAC